TCAATTTTTTTCTTTGGTTTTTGTTTTGGCACAGAGCATTGTATGCTTATAACAATGGTGCATGTATTTTCCTAACATGCAAAAGTCAAACGTTTCTTTGGCGTCTTTCTACAACTACAATATTGGAGATTATATTATTAGCATAATGAAATCTGTTCTTCAAAATAAGACTTTGAAATTATAAAATATACAATCCTTGAAGTTTTGAAAGTTGAAAATGTGTTTTCTTTGCTTTTAATGTGTCTGGGAAGTTCCATTACTTCCAAGGCAGGTGGTGTATTGGCATTCTAAATCTACAAACTTGAGTTTGAATCCTAATACGAGAAATTTTTTTTTATCTAGATTCACTTTGTGGGTTCAAGTGGTTTTATAATATTGCATAGCCATTACAAATAATGTGAGCAAGTACATGACATTATAGCACTACTAGTGTCACTTTGGCATATAATATATTAATATGTTGGACTTTTCACAAAACATTCTTGACACTTATTCAATATACTTAATTTAATTCCAGTAGAATTAAATTAAATATTTTGAATAAATTTACATTTTTTAATATAAGACCAGTACTTACATTAATAACAAATGTGCAGTAATACAGGTAATAATATATTACAAGTACTTATCTGAATTATTTGCAGGAATTCTTCTTTAAGCACATAAATAATTTAACAGATTATCAAAGAAAAAATATGACAGTTGACATCATTTTCATATCTGCAGTGGACATTGTTGAATGGTTTCATTCATATGACAGAGTATTTCGAAACTCAGTAGCATCTCTTCTTACCCAGGCAAATGTGAGATATTTTTAGTACTTTCATAACTTAGAAATTTATTTCAAAGGGCAAAACATAGAATTACTTATAATTTTTTCCAGGAAAGTGAATCCATACCATCCATAAATATTATATATATTGCTCCAACACCTCTCAAAAATGAAAAATACTTCTGTATAACTTTTATGGTTGAATCAGCTCTCCACAAGAATACATATGAACTTGGAGTACTAGTAGTACAAAAAATAAAACAGAATATATCAGGTCTATCAGATATGGTAAGTTTGTACTACCATCAACTATTCATCATTTAGTATTATTTAAAAATAAAAGACAGCAAGTTGTTCCAGTTAACATACACTTTTCTTAATAAATATATTTTCAGAATATTATTTTTGATTTCAATCACCAACAAAATAATATCTTCTACCTTTGTGTTTTAATTGATTTTGAACATGTTCACTCCTCATTAGATTTCTTTTCTTTGTATTCATTTTGTACTTCATATCTGACATCACATTCTTTCTTTTTTTAAAGAAGTAGTTCTTATGTCTTTATTTTGCTCACTTATTTTTTCCTAATTTGTTTCTTTTTTCTGTTTTTTTTTCACCCTTTTCTTCATCAACTAATTTTCTTTATTGCTATGCTATGCTTTAGTTCTCAAGGACTTTTATTTCATGGAATTGTTCACCAATTTCATTTAACTTTTAATATAATGATCACAACAGAAGAAGAAATTGATCTTCAATTTATGTATTTATTTCAGCTTCATCTTCCAGTTGAGTCAATTGTAGCTGGGTATAATGAAACAGGTAAATGTCATAAGTCATACCACCTCATGCAAGAGAGAAACTGGGTAATTATTGTTGTACTTGGTACAATATTGTTTGTAGCAATTGTAGTCATCCTGACCATGTGTATACAGAAGTCAAGAATTGGAAAACAAACATGGGAACAAGATGAACAGGTACATAAAATTATTTTCTAATCACATTTTATATACAAAATATATTCATGATTTCTGACTTGTGTACAAGCTGATTAATGCCACTTCAAGGCACGTTGGATATTTCTTACTTGCTTTATTACAGTATGGAGGAAACTATCCTTTTAGTTTTCATGCATTTTATTAAAAGAAAACTGTATTTAAAAAAACAATGAAGTATTACAAAAACAAATCAAAAATTCGCAAAGAAGTAAAGTTTTCAAAGTAATAATTATTTAATGAGAAAATATAGAATTCATGACATCTCAAGACCACCAAACACTTGTAACTCTATGCAAACATTTTTAGCTCTAATATTATTTCAAATGCAGGAATGGTGTGCCCCTATTCATGGTGAAACTGGGAGATACCGAAGTGGTTATCAACTGCCCATAAATGTACAAAATTCATCAAATAACGTGGTTGACCGTTTTTCCAGAGTGAACCAGAAAGTCTCTTTAAAGGAACAGAATAATTCATTTGTTTCAAATAATGGTGTGGAAAATGTTCTTATTCATAATGAAGAGGAAAACTGTTCTCAAACAACGTGTGGTGAATGTAATAAAATGTTTGTGGAAGACACTAAACTGTGAATACTATGTGTGTGCTTTGTGTATGTAAAATTACATCAATAGTCAAAAGTGATACAAACCAAAAATATGTAGTTAAGAAAACAAGAGAATTCAAAATTTATGTATGTATGCAATCAGAAATATTTGCTCTTCTTCAATAGTATTTTCTCTAGTAATGACATGCAAATTTCTGTTTTACCTTGAAGGCAATAGTACTGTAAAGCATCTCAACTCTAGATTGTGGTTCAGAGATATTTGGAGCTATCTGTATCTCTCTCTTGGTTGTCCCACAAGAACCTTCTTGTCTAACAGAGATATTACCATTACAAAGAGAAGATTAAAAAATCGCAGTGTTTAAAAGTTACCCATTTGCATTGAAGAGTAGTAATAAAACCACATTAAAACATATTTTTGCAGATTGACAAACATTATAAACAAATACAATAAAACATACTCAAAATTTTCATGAAGTGTACTTTACACTCCTGTCAATAGGTCTACTTATTCACATCATATTGTCTTAAAAACATATCATGTGACAACGAAATTTTGTTTTTCATGTCTTTACAAGTTGAGATTATAGGCACACACTGAAAATTTATGGTTGCCAGTTGTCCACTATTTGAGCGGACAGTCTGCTTTAGTTGTATATAACACTATGTTCACTTTTTTTTTTTTTTTTTTTTTTTTTTTTTTTTTTTTTTTTTTTTTTTTTTTTTTTTTTTGTGCACAAAATAGTGGACATTGCTTTGTATATTTTTTAATATTCCCAACATTGTACTGAAATTAAAAAAATATTCCTATAACACAAAGAATTCATCAAAGCTGCGCAGTTAAATAAAAAATACACATGACAGCAAAGTAAAATGTGATTTAAAATTTTACATATTATTATAATAGATTTGATGTTTTGAATTTTAAGTGAAGTTTTGAAGTGATTATTTTTTAAGGCATATTAAAATGTTTGTAGGAAAATATATAATTTATTTGTAATTTTTTTTAATGTAGCAATTAAACTTGCTTGTCCGCTATTTTTTAAAGCAGACCTGGCAACCCTAGAAAAATTCAAATGAATTGGGTCAAAAATTTTGACTATAAATAAATTTAAATTAACTACACAGATTTTCATTAATGAAACATGAAAAGTTAGCTTGCGAGAATCTTTTTTTCCCTTTGATTTATCTTAAAGATTACAAGCTATAAAAAGGTAGAAACGAGTTTCACATTATTTTTAAAGTTAGTTAGAAGTGAAGATATTATTCTTAGGCCAGTAAAATGAGGTCCAAGAAAGGAACTTGGTAGCAAAGATTAGTGGAGTTCTGCAAACTGTTTTAATCGTACAAGAAGGTCTCTGATGTAATCTTAGTGAGTCCGTTTTTTTTGTTTGGGGGTACAGAAGTTATGACAAAACAAATTAAATAATGTTTTGTAGGCTACTTTTTCTGTTGTTTCTCAAATTTCGTGAAAACCAAGAGCTTAATTGAAAACTTTATTATTTCCAAAACCTTAGAGCATGATATTCTGTGCTGATGAAGCAAGGATACTTTGCAATTTGACAAAGTAGTATTGTAGAAACGCTATGTTAAAAAACGCTAATTTTTCTACACATTTTCAAAAGCACTAGCTTCTTTGAAAAATAAACAAACATTGAATGTTTGATTTGTTTATTTATTTTATTTCAAAACAGCGTAAAAATGTGTGTGGCGTGCTTCGGAGAGAAGTGTATTCTGAGCACGTTTTCTTAAATCTGGGATCCCTATCCTGAGGATTCTATTTGGAGGGTGCCCCTGGGCCGTCGCCCACCTTGCCCCTGGTCGCTCGGGTTTGCCCGAGTGGTCTGGGACCCTACCAGCCGTCTTTGAGGCAGGGTTGGGGTGCGGCCACGACCGTGAATCCACGCGCATCCATAAAGAACGCGAGAAGTGAATTCCCCTCGCTCCTTGGCTTGATTCCCGGCGGTTCTCACGTCGCCGGTGTCAACGTGGACGCATTGAGGAGACGAGTTGGGGCTCCGAGCTTCCAGGGTCTCGGCCTCAGTGGCTTCCATTTGAGCTCTTGGTCCAACACTCATGGGCACTTGGCAGTTCTCATGGGTAAATGAATACGGCTTTGTGAGTGGCGCATAATTCGACTCCGGTGCTCGTCTGGAAAAGTGGTGGCCATGAGCTGGTAAGGTGGCCTCACCTAAGCTTAACTGTGAAGACAGTTCCTCTGGGACGCTGCGTCCGGCTGCCAGCCTGAAGGAGCGTTAGTGCTACCTGAAAAGGATGTGGATTAAAGCCAGAAGGCCCATTCGAAAGGCGAGTCAAAACCCTCCTGGTATGAAAATTAACGCACCTCATCTGGGAACGAGGCTATAAAACGGGCTACGCTAGCGAGCTCGGAATCACTTTATCTTAATGCCAGCCATGCGCTGGCTGTCGCCACACACCAGTCTATGTTATAACGGTAACTTTTTTCCAAAATTTCGTGAAACGAATTAATCGCAGCGGTCACCAATAATCTTGGTAACTTCTACTTACAATCCTATCTCAAATGGGATGACTGTTCCTGATCACGATTCCTGTTCACACTATACACTAGCGTACCGTGTCCACTCACAGCTCCGCGCCGTTGCTCTACGAACTGTTCACACCCTTAGCTCTCGAGAGGGAAATATACTTGGGTTTTCATTTCTTGGCTCGTGAGGGCCTCCACGCCAAAAGAGCGCGTGAGGGTCTTCACGATGGAATATCTCACGGCATTTCGCGTCTTTCTCGGTCGTGCCGCTAGATGTCGCATGATCGCCAGCGATCGCGATCATGAGACATCTAGCGGCACGTCCGAGAAATACGCGAAAAGCCGTGAGATATTCCATCGCGAAGACAGGCCCTCATGCGCCAAGAAATAAAGGCCCAAGTATAATTTTCACATCGCCTGACGTCCGGGCGGGGGTTACCCGTCTAAGCCCCACCCCGCCGGCGTTGCACTACTCCCCCTGCTGTCGCCTCCGAGCACTGTCACACGTTGGCAATTGAACACGCCCCGCTTCGCGATTATTCCACATGTCTAGGTTTACACAATAGTCCCTAATAGAACGATTGGATATATTTATACCCCCGCGTTATTACGACGTTTTCCGTCTTTAAAAAATCTTTACTCTTAAATAACCTTCTCCACGGGTCTTCTTTCAATTGGAACGAGGTCGCAAATTGAAGTTACAACTAACAAATAACCCTGCCTTGCTGATCCACAAGTTTTGCTGCACTAGGTGCCTTCAAGTTCTGAATTGCATAAGGTCCCTCATATTAGAGGGAAAAATTCGAATACAATTGTAATCGAGCTTCAGAAATTCTAGGTACACAAAGTAATACAAGGTATCCCGCTGAAAACTCGTATGGTTCTTTCTTTATCTTCACTATTCTAACTTTACTCAAACTAACCAGCTTGTCTCGAATGCCTTTAGAAGCCTTTCAGAGATCTCTCCGAGATACCTCTTCTCTACGTAAAGCGTACTACAGTAAATTGGGTTGTTTCCGATCAAAGTGGTCTTCACAGGGCGTTATTCTAATGCTATCATAGGGAAATAATAAACAACTACTGCAGATATTTCACCCCACCGCGCATGATTTCCGCTGCAATACGCCCTGAACGACCTTCATTGGATTAAGTTGTTGGTGCCCTGTGTACGAATAAATAAGCATAATCCCCATTTCTATCAGAGCCCTGTTCCACCTGTCACTAGTAAACATTGTGCCGTGATCAGATAATACACGCAGGTACTGATCCGCTATATTAAGGAACATTCGTAGCTTTTTCAAACTCGTCTGCGTGTTCGTTCTATTTATGGGGTATTCCTGTACAAATTTGGAAAGCACATTCATTATGACTAAAATGACGGTAGTTTTTTTTTCTTTTTTTTTTTTTTTCGGCTTAGCCGAATGTTTGTGTAGTTATGTTGCAGTTCGTACGCATTTCGCGTTTTACTGCTATGTGTAAGTGGCTGGTGTGGGTTCGTGTCGGACCTTAGTCAATAAGAAAATCGACATTTGTGTTGCACTACGCCCTCAGAATATCAGAGGGGAGTGCTTGTCTTCTTTGGCCAATAGTGAGAACGTGTCGAGATAATTGTTTTAGTGTTGCCGGAGCTCCGTTGGCTTGAAAAGCTTGATAAGCTTCGTTAAACGAAAGTCGTCTCAAGCATTGAGCGAAGGTCTCTATATAAAGATCCTTCCTCAGTACTTTTAACCGTTTCCGAAATAGAGGAAGTGCTATGAGCTGTAGAACGTTGTTCTGTACTAGCTCAAGTGTATCCTGGGCTTGGACCTGAGCGCGGCAAGGAAACCGTAACTGATTTTTGAATGTGGTGTAATTTTCAACTACGTTCTTCTCAATTAATAGTCTGGTATTTGATACGAGATAGGTGGTTTTGTGATGGTATCATGTTTTCAAATGCAAAAGAAATGTGAAAAAAAGGAAAGGGAGGCTTGTGCACACGTAAGCTTCCGCGGCCCGATTCCATAACTTCTTGGCTATCCGGGAGACACAGCGTCGTTGGCTGAGAGGCCGACGTTTCGCCTGACATGTCGTAGGCTTCCTCAGGGCAGTGACGTTTTTGAAAAGGGAGCTTTTCAGAATGCATTAATGAGTGTGCCTCATTCAGCAACCCGAGCCCGGCGAACTCTGTATTTTCGAAAATTGCAAAACGTGAACATTTCATAATTACAAAATTGAAGATAGTGTGGCGTCATAACAGTCGCCTTGTACAAACGTACCAAAATCAACCACGTGCATTTCATGCTCATGGACAGCGCTGGCGGAAGAGACGCTGGGCTCGACAAAGGCAAACCTAGGGAGCGGAAGGGAAGGGGTGCCGTGTCGTGGGTGGCAAACTTGGGAACCCCGTAGGCAGGCCGGCGGTGGAAACGCGTTGGCGGAAACAGCGAGATGACGCAGTTCCGTCAGCCGGCCCAGAAGGTATATAAACGGACCCCGGACCTAAACTCCTGATTCTTGGGCGCGTCGGTAGGAAGTCGTGTGGATTCTGCATTTTAATGCATAGGCTACTGAGGCAGGGAACTGAAGCCGGCGTGCTACGTCGAGACGGGAGGTGCGGCATACTCGCTTATATGCTCACGTAGGCTACTGGTGTATCACACCGAATATGATATCTAATTATCAGGCCAGCGGTGGTGGTAACCAAGGAACATTCCTTCTAGTAACGGGTCAATATTGTTTATTGTAAATATTGAACATAGTATCCAGGTGTTGGAGCATTTTTTTCAAATAAATACTAAATAATTTACAAACCGTTCACGTCTGTGATTTATTGCCCCAGCAAAGACGTCACAATAGAAATGTTTACTTTAGGCAGTTTGTTCCAAAAAATATGCTATTTAAAAAAATCGTGTACAGTTTTTGAAAAAGTGGAGTGAACTGCGGGGATTTAAGTTAATGCAATTTATAAAAAAAGTCCTTAAAACCCGCTTACATTTTTTCAGGGATAGAAGAAAGTGCGCTTAAAAGAATGGCGTGGGTTCTGTTCCGTTGAACTCTGCAAATTTTCGAAAATTGCTAATTTACAAATAATGAAAAAAGTATGTGCTGCTGCAACACCACTAGCTTTTAAAAAATGTACGTGGCCTTACCTGAAGATCTAATAATTTAGAACAGATTTTATTTTACAAAAAAAATGTTTTCAATTTTTGAAAATCCAGAGAGCTTGCCGAAATGGGATTAGCACCATATTTTTTTTCCCGTCCCTCGAAACATGCGAGAAGAAATTTGAAAGAAAATATTCGGAGCGGTTTCTAAGAAAAAAAATTGTTAAAAGAAATTAAAATTGCCAATATTTCGCGCAAAATTGCAAGAAAACTACTCATATTTTTGAAAAATTGAACATGACCTTGTTTC